GCCATGAAGATCTGTGTTACAGTTAGCAGATGAGGCCTTTGGAAGTTATTAGCCAAAGCAGGTTGTTCCAAGAACTTTATCCAGATAATCTTTCCATTCTGTGACAGCATGATGGCCATGCCTTCCTTTGCTAATTTCTAATGGAGTCAGATAAGACTGTTTTAGCTTCCCCTTTGTTTAGTACCTTTTATGCCTTCAGGAATGTTGGTGAAAGTGTGTATGTGGTTTAGGATGGTTGGTAAATTGTACAGTCTTTGCTGCCTGCAGTCCAAAACTAAGACCCCTGAAGAACTTTTGTTTGGTGGGGATTGGGTTGTCTTTGCCCATACCAAGGTGCAATAGCATAACAGAGCTGGTGCCCAAAGCAAACCCTGCAGGATTGTGTTGGGGAGAGAGGTTGACATACAGTTCCACGAGGGAACATGGGGGGACAGTGGGTTCTCAGTCTGGTGGAGGCAGGAAAGCAGTCTTACCCATAATGGGACTCCTACACAGTCCTGGCTGAGCTGCTGCTGTAGCCACGTGTGCTCTACCTGCCTCGACTGTTGCTCTTCAAGAAGCAGTAGTCAGGAATTCTTTTGGAGTTCCCAGCATGGAAATGCCACTGAGACACAGACTCTGCAAGTATGGGGGCAATTCGGCACTCTTCCTTGGCACTCAGTGTGGGTGCCCCTCTTACACACCCTTAATTATGCTACTGTAAAGGAGGATCTTTAAGTTAACATGGACTTTTCATGGGCTGGTAGAATTTTTATCTCTCTATTAATCTCAAAATGACACAAGTATGAACAGTTGTCAGCCTGCCCGTAGCAAAATTTTGGAGCTGCATAACATCACCATTTGATGGGTATCCATTACTTGAAGTGGATCCATCTACCTATGAAGCACCATATCATGTGATGAAATTATGAAATAAGCCACGAACAGTCCAAAGCCAACAGGGCTTTTGGAAAGCTCTAGGTGAGGTTGTGGGAGAAAAGGGGCATTAAACTGGCAAGAAAACTTCAGGTCTAAGGCAACGATCATGCATATTTTAAGTGTGTGAGAGCTGGATCATTTATAGTAATGATGGGTGCATCTACACATACTGATTTAAGGTGCATTGGCCATTTTAAAGGCACCTTAAGGGTGCAGGTCTACACATGTGTATCCTTAATAAGTGTCGACTATAGATGCCGTAGGGCTTACAGCCCTTCCAGGATGACATCTTTTCTTCTGCTTCACAGAGTAAGGGGTTCTATATTATCCCTAGGCCCCTCCCAGTTGTTAAAATCTCACCCTCCATGACTTTGCTGTTTAATATGTATTTATTTCAATGGCAGGGTGTTAAAAAAAAAAGCAGAAGAAAAGGTGTCCACTGCCCAGCAGTACAAAAAAAACCCTAAAAATATGGGTCTCTACCACCCCCTGCACCCCATCCTTATGCCACCTTAAACCCTCAGATTCCCTTCAGGGTATTTATATTTAAAAAAAACAAAAACAAAAAAAACCCAAAAACCCAAAAGTGAAACAATTCCTTGCCACTCCCACAGCTCTAACTGAACTCTAAGCTGAGAAAGTTTACCTAGAGTCCATGTTTCTTGCTGCTGTTCTCAGTCTCCACCACTTAGCTGTCAATATTTCTGGCTTGCCTTGAGCAAGTCCCCTGCCTGTGTTGGGAGCTCAGCCTCTTGCTGCCTTGCCTGCTTCAGGGTTCCTCCAACCCCCGTTCGTGCTGTCATTGGACCCAGCTCCCAGCCCCGCTCTCAGCTGGGTGGCTCGGAGTGGGGAGTTCCCTGCAGCACCGCTTCTCTCTGCATCAGCTCCTCCCCCAGGCTGCCCCTCTTGGAGGATAGAAATAGGTGCAGCAGAGCATCATGAGCAAATCTGGAGTCACCACTCACTCCAGAAGTGGGGTTTTTGGCCATTCTTCTTCTCTGTGATCCTTCGGTCTTCTGAGGTAAGTGCAGGGAAAGGTGTTTTCTCTACAGGAAATCCATTTCCCTGGTTTCTCTCCTCCTCACAATGTGTCTTAAAAATGGCAATTTTAGGCTATTTGCACCTAAATGTGATGCCTGCAAAAGCCTGCATCGATTAGGCACAAATAGCTAAAGTGCCTTAACACATGTGTAGATGTGCTAAGGTGCATTAATGCTGTGTATGCCAACTGACTTGGGATGAACTTTAGTCCTAAAACAGTCTGTATACTGTGTTAATGCGTCTTAGCATGTGCACATATAGATGCATGCCTAAAATTGCCTTTAAGTGCATTAGGCAGATGCACATTAAATTTAGGAACGCATAAAAGCATGTGTAGACATGCCCCATATTAGGAAATTTAGCTACTTTCACCTAAGTTGTCTCACAAGAATCATAAAAACTCACTATTGGCATAAGGTGCCAGACACTAAGGTCCCAAAATGAACAAATGTCAGGTACAGGGGCAATAATAGCAAGAATGCAGATGAAGCAACTTGGCCAACTAGTCCAAATGCCTAATGCCAGATAACCCAGGACATGGTGAAATGAAGCTTGTGTAATACTCTTGGTAAAGACAGCCTACAGCCTAACCTAAATAAAAGTGGATCATGATGGGAGTATGATGTGTGTGACAAAAGAGTGGTGAAAGCTAATTTATGATAATCTAATTATGTTTGGAACAGCTTGTATCCAGCCATCTGAAGAACGGAGAGGGGTTAAAAGAAAACTTAGGAAAGAACAAGCTTTAGGTCAATATGGCATTTGTTGTCCTCTGTGAGGGAAACTATTCCTTGTGAAAAACAAACTCCAAAGCCATGTGAGAACTCACAATCAAAGGTAGTGTGGAAAGGAAACTTGGCTGTCATCACTGACAACAGTGGACAGCCATCATACCAGCTTATGGACTGGAAAACACTACTGGCATTAAAGAAGTGGTGATACACTTTGAAAAATACAAGCATGTTTGTCCCAATGAGCTCCTGTGTATCTGAAATATCTATCACCAACAATTTAACTATGTGAGAGAAAGATAGTAAACTAAAATCCCCTACAACCTTTAAATGAGTGTCCATCTTATCTACCTTTCTTATTTTCAAAATAATCCAGGAGCAGAATGCTCAGTCCCTCTCTTTCCCCGTCAACCTCCAAGGTGAAGGGGTCCAATCCACCTGCCCACCCTCCCTCCAGCAAGCTGGGCAAACCCTAGAAGAGACCTCCCTTCCCCTCTGATCCCGAAACAGCATCAGGGACAGGAGGGGCTGGGGCTAGAGGAAAAGGCAGCCTCTTTCATTGAATCAGCTCCAAATTAGAGCTTGATCCCCTACCTTCCCACCCTAACAGCTAATGTCTGTTGGGTCGGGAGGGTCAATCTAACTCATGGCATTTCTGTGAAGCACCATAAATTAGTCTGGGGACCTGCATTTCTGTCTGTGCCAATGTAACAGTCTCTCAAGCAACCAGGTTGCAAGTCATTTAGGAGTGTTAATAATTAACACTTAAAATTTCATCTGCAAGCCAATGCTTCACTTAATGAGACCACTGAAGTCCACATGAGATTCAGCTGCAAGACAGATTTGAGAAGTTGTCCACAGAGAGCACATTCCTGTTGATCTCTCTACAGGGGAGAGAGTTATGAATCATGACAACAGGGGTCACCTCTGAAATAAATGTTTAAAACTTTCTAACCAGGAAGTGTCTTTTAACAGTATTATAGGAATTTTATAGTTCATATTATATATGAACTAAATTCTGTACTAGTAGTCCTAATGGGTGCAGCTTACTGAAAGCAGTGGAGTTTTGCACATTTTTATGAGCAATTCATTTGCCCCTAATAGTTTGCTTATGTTCAGAAACTGGTTATGAGATACTTAATACTAACACCCTTTGCATTATCCTCATGCAATATCATTAAAGCCCATGGAGGCTACCAAGTGATTAGAAGGGCAAAATTTTGTCTAAAGTAGAAACGAGTTATACCAAAGGTAAAGCAGAAGTGCACATTTTTATGTACGGAAAACACTTCTGACTTCGGTCCCTTCTTCCTATAGATGAAATTACAATGTGTCCAAGTTCACTATAAGCACGTATAGCAATTATTCATCCTAAATAGTTACCAAGAGAGATGCAGCATAGCTCTTAGATGGAAAATTTGAAATAGAAGTGGGGGGAGGAGTTTTTTGGGTTGTTTATTTGCTTTACCCTAGAAATAGACATCTCTCCAGCAAACAGTTTCCAAGCAGTAAAATATTAGAATGCTTTTCTGTGCAATTCATTACAGATTATCTTTCCTTTTTCATGGAATTTATACTACTGGAAAAGGAAATAAATCATGGAATAAAAGCTTACTCATCTAATTATGCCACTAAGGGGGCAGTAGCACATCAACTGTGAGACTCCACATTTCATGTCTAGGAAAGATCCTGCTGTTGTTGGGACATAACAGCAAGTCTAGTTTTAACACACCCTCAAAATAGTGTTCTTTCACCGAGTTATTTATAGAGTTTGTGCCAAACAATTCAAGGAGCAGAAAGTGATAGGGTGCAAGCATGAAGGCTTAGCGTAGTTGGTTTAGCAAAGGCCTTTAAATTAAGCCACCACAAATATAATAAGGCCTTTTCTTTATTTTTCTATGCAACCGTAGGGCACAAAGGGCAGGGAAGCTTAAAAGACCTATTCATGCGAACAGAGCTGGTGCTTTGAGTCAACTATTTACACATTGCAAATGTATTTTATTCATATTAACACAACACTGAGTAAAATGGATGCAAAAAAAGCGTCTCCATCCCCATGACAGTGTAGCTTAAAAATGAAGAGCGGGACAACACTTTTCTTTTCTGTTCCTCAGAATGGAAAAGCTAACCTAGGAAAAATAGTGCTAAATGCTTTTCCCATAAAGCAGATATAAAGCAGAGCATAATTAAAATGTGTTGTGTTTAAAACCCCCCCTACATTTACACCAAACACATCTATCCATCCATACACCTGTCTGTGTACAAACATATGCATGCATTGTGAAGTAGAAGGATTTCCTATATTAAAGTATGAACACAGTCCAAGTTTGAGCGCTTGTTAGCTTCTGCAAGGATTCCTGAAAAGCCACAGGTCTCTTGTTCATGCCAAATAAATTTTGCTTTGCTGAACTTCAGAACAGTTTCTCCTTGTTGTAACAGTTGTACGTTTTTGCTCCTGCTCTTTTCTTAGAGAAAACAGATTGCAAATATATATGGAAAATAAAAGCATAGGGCTCCTTTAAAAGTTACATTTTAAAACAAGTGTAACGGAACTGCTCCATTACAACTAGTTTGCCATCTCCCCAAGAAAACTTCTATGATAAATCTGAAGTGAGGCCCGATTTCAGAAGTTTCAGGAAACAATTCACAAACCTAGCCCCAAAGATTCCCTTTTGCTCCCTGAAGCCTTGGGATCCAGCTGGGGGAAGAAGGACGAGCCATTTCAAAAGAATGCTCCCTCTTTTGTTAATATCTAATAAAAGGTATTGCCTCTACCCAAAGAGTTCATCTGCTTTTGTGCTTAAACTAACATGGCTACATCCTAGACTCCTCTTTTGCTAATATTCCTATTGAAGCCATTATCTTGCACTTCCAGTCCCAAGAGTCCAAGAGAGGGGACAGGCACCCTCCATTACTTACATCATTCCTTCTTCATGCACGTGTGAGCGCCCCCAGTACAAGGCATAGCATGGCCTGACATATGAAAAACTCCAGCCTCCCTCTTTCTAATTGAGGTATCCCAACAAGAGTATGCAGCACTTGTGTCCTGCACAAGCTACCAGTCAAATTCTGGGTGAAATTCAAGGACCAGAAGTTTCACACTAAGGGCAAGCAGTGAAGGACCTAGCTCCTTGGTCCTCCAGCAAAAGAATCCCAATTCATGGCACTCCCTCCCCTTTCCTGCTCCTTTGTGCAACAAGAGCTACACAAAGAAGCCAGCCTGTACGTGATGGACTGGTCCAAAGCCTAAGAACTGCCTCTCCTTTTCTGAGCCATTAGATAGCTGATGCTCATCAGGAACTGTAGGATTCTACATCCCTAGTCTGAAGAGAGGCAGAAGACAGGGCAGAGTTGTACCTTATAGACTAACTAGATCAGAGTTGCATAGTAAAACCTTTTGTAAGCATTAGGCTTACCTCATCAAGTGCTCTGAAGGGACCCAGGATAGAGCCCATAGGCCTGAGAAAGCACATGCTCTTGCTGGCAGGTTTGTGTCTTAAATCAGCTTTCTCCAGCAATGCACTGCAGGTCAGAGCTGACCTGGTCAGTCTGACCTGCAAAAGGCATCGCCTCGTACAGAACTTTCCAAATCTGGTTTTTCAGCTGATTTCCCCACTTCTTCCCTCATTCTAATAGATGTCAACAAAGGATGCATATTTGGAAGACATAAAATGAAAGTGGGAGCCTTCCCACCCATCTCTTATTGATTATTAAATGAAGCCAGGATGAGAACACGTCGCGAAAAGTGCATTAGATGCTTTAAAGGGCTGGAATTTCTCCTTCAAAAATACGATGCCTTGAGGGTATTTATGTTTCATCCACAATTGCAGGTAAGGGCTTGTTATGGTGGCAGGAACAGGTATTCATTACATGTTATTCATAGCCTTACTATAGTAAGGTAAAGTAGCTCAACAGCCAATCAGTTTTATTCCTATTTTTCCTCAAAATCTTGACCCAAGAGTAAGCCTCAAGGTCAGATTTTGGCCCTTGTTAAACAGCTTTGCACTACTATAGCAGCACATAGCAGAAATAAAGCAAGAAGAACTGCTGGTGTAGAGTAATCCTGTATATACCATGACCCCTCGTCTCCATACTGTTTGGAAAGACTAGTGTCCACAGGAGGAATTGACTAAGCCTACCCTTGTACTTGGAAGGAAAAATGCTCCTTGTGCCATGCCCTTTGTGCACCTATATTTTAGGTGCCTTTCAACTAAATTGAAAAGGCACCCAATGAGATTTCAGCATCTCACTAATACATTAACAAACCCTTCATTTCACAGCATGCACTGTTAACGCAGATACTATTTTCATACCCTAGTGATAGCTAACAGCTCACAATGGGTCTGAGCTTCCAGGCTCTACCAAGTAACCCCAAATTCCAATATAAGTGGGAGGTACTTTGCTGCTCCCAAGATTTTATCCTGGAAAATAAAATGTTTAGTCAGTGTTCTTCATTATGCAATTAAATCCTTAAACAATGTGCTCATGTCTGCAGGAGGAGGAGAGTGAAATAAAACATCAACCCAGCACTTCATTATTTTCACAGTCACTCTTCCTATGCATTCCCAATGCATCACCAAGAATAATGTCACTGGAAAGAGAAAGCACAGGCAGAAGAAATTCTGACCCAAGCCCAAAGAATGCTGAAATGCCATAAGGAAATTGTCATAGGAAACTGCATACAGGTGTCTCTCTCTTTTGTCTAGGTCTGTACATTTCCTGCAATGTCTAAAATAAAAAGTAATTGGGTCTGAAACCTTTGCAAGGCCTGTGTTAAATGCTTCCACTTCCATGTGTCCCTAGAGAAGCAAATGGTGAGCTAGACTGCCCACAACCCTTGGAGCTCTGGGGAAAAAAAGCTGGAGTGTGTTGAAAGGTCAGCACTAGTTCTGGGGACTAGGATAGCCAGACTGCAATGCTCCACATCTGTTAAGAGGTAAAAGAAAGCCTGTGCCCAGGAAGTTTGCTGGAGAATCCAGAGAAAGAAGACACTAATAGAACCAACTCAGGGAAAAAGATGGCTTTAAAAAAAAAATTACATGTGCCCAGTGCTTTGGACCCATGTGCTTCTCTAGGGACACATGGAAGTGGAAGCATTTAACTACCTAGTGAGAGTCCAGCTGGGGGTGCTTTATCAGCTTTCACCAAACACTTATTTAGTAATACATACACAATAATCTGTGATACTTGGTTACAAGCTGCATCCAGTTTCTCTTCAGAGGTTGACATATCTACCACATGTAGGCTCAGAATCATTTTTCCTTCCTAGACATCTCCATCAATTTGCATATTTTTAACTGTGGTAGCACAGGGTGTTTGTAGCAGGTCCAGGGATTTTTGTTTAGCTTAAACAGTTTTTCACAGTTCATAAAGGAGCAGCTCTCAGTCCCGGGGTCACAAGATGCTGCTGGCTTTGCACTGCTCCCTCCACAATGCAGTGCAGTCTTCGTCTTCTCTCTCATGAGTTTCCTCTCCTGGTCTCAGGGCTGCTGCCTCCAGCCTTGCAGCCCTGGGTCTTGTACCAAACTCTGGGACAGTCCTTGACCTTATATTGCAGCCACCAGCCAAGTACCCACACCCACTCCTAGCTTCCTCTCTAAGAGCCTTAGATGAATATAGATACACAGTTCTCACCATGTTACAGAAACTTGCAGAAATTTTGCATTTCTTTGCTAGTTATGAAATAATTTTCCCTCAGGGACTTATAAAATGTCCTGAACTATAGCTGGAGAGAGCTCTCTGAAGGTGCTGATTACAGCAAATGGTGCCGGCAGTCACTAAGATGTGAAAGCCAAAGCCTGGGGAGAGGCCAAGCATTGGATGAATATGACAAGATGGTTCCTAGGTCTGAGTGTATACGCTATGAAACTGCTGAAAATGCAAAAGTTTGTCAGTGTAAGAGTGGCGTTTTACATGGTGCAAAGGAAAAAAGAAATCTGGAAGCTGCATCAAATAGGGCATGGGCATAGTTTCCCCTGACCTGGGGATCTCTTCCTTTCTTCTCTGCAATCGCTTCCCACCTGTACCTACAATAAACCCACCTGTACCTTTTCAGCTTCCCCGTAAGCCAGCCCTTGTTCTTAGGGTCCTCCCACTGTACAGGACAGGGGCTGGCCCCCTGCTGGGGCCAGATCCCACCCTGAAGCTCTGTCAACCCCAGGGCGGCTGTATTATCCGGTACTCACCGTACGGAGCAGTCCGCTGGTCTGTCTTGACCCACATAGGTCTGCCACACAGCATTTGTCCATTAAACAGTTGCCACCATGTTCATGGCATCCCTGGGATGGACAAATGTAACTGTCTCCATACCACAGCTTTCCCCAGCCTTGTTCCATCAGACTGCCCTGGCACCTGGGATACCCGTCTCAGCTTCCACCTGCATACTCCAAAGTCAAGGTTCCTCTCAACTACAGTGGTCCTCTGGCTACTGACCTTCTCTGCTGCAGTGGGTGTCCTCGCTGTCAGGCCTGGACTCCTTAGCTATCAGCTCTGGGGACTCTGCTGCCCTTGCTGTAGGTTCTCTGTTGTCAGACAGGGTGCAGTCAGCCATCTTCAGTGGTGGCTTCTTCTTGGGGCCCCCAATTTCCATCAAGACCTATGGAGTCTCCTCTGTCCTGTGGCAGTCTTACTGCTGGAAATGCGTGGTGAGGCTGACTCCCCACTTTTAGGACATTCTGTCTTTTCCTATGGCCCCGTCCCAGGTCAGTCTTCTCCCCACTCTTCCTCCATGACTTTTTCTGGGAACTGTGCTTTTCACCATGGCTTCAGACAGCTTTATTTCTTGGATGATGAGCTTCTCCTTCTCTAGAAGCTCCCACTGACTTTCCTTCAGCTTGTCCTCCACTTCCCAGGTAAATCTTTCAGTAACTTGGCTTCTCCTCCCTGGACCTGGCCACCTCCCCATAAATTCCTGGACTCTGGTCTCCATGTTTTAGCTATGCTGAGCCAGAGGGTCCTTCTCCCTCTGCATGAGTGGTCAGGGCTGCCATCTCTGCTTCCTTTTCTCTGCTGGACTTCTTGCAGCTGGAGCAAAGCCCTCTCTCTCTCCTGGAGGGCCTTTTGCTGCTCTTTTCAAGGCAGCCAGCTGTCCCTCCAAGTCCTTTATGTTGGCCCTCTCTTCAGCCCCAGAGACAATTGTGGTCACTTTCTTGTGGAGTGCTCACAGCCTCTCTTCCTACTCTTGGCTCCCCCAACTCCATCAAGATCAACTGTGTGAGTTCCTTCTTTTCCTGTGCCCTAACAGCCAACAGGCACCTTAACTCCTTGCTTTTACTCTTGTAACCTTTGCGGTAATCCAAGAGGTACCCCCTCACCAATTGAAGGGATCAAAGCAGGTGCACAAGTGCTGTAGGAGGTGTAGGGACTCTCCTCCCCCTATAGAGCAGAGCCAGACCACCAATGGGGACTTATCCATATACCTTTTAATACTGGGAACATAACAGGCATAAATCAGAGGGTATAGTGGACACTACAACACCCCAAGGGGGCAGGATTCAACAAAGGTTAGACATTTACAATTACTGACAAAACAGGGTTAACAAAATATAAAACACAAACAGTAGAACAAACAATACGGGTTGGTGAAATATAAAAAGGCACAAAATGCAAAATGACAAGGAAACATAGGGCCTTGGTACCTGGAGGGGGAGAAAACACAATGGCCCCTTTCTACTGCAAGATTTGCTTTCTGTTATCACACTCACCCAAGCTGGGACTTGAACCCAGATCTCCCACCTGGTAGGCAGGAATGCTACCATACAGCCACCACTAGTGGCACTGTTCTAACCTGCTAGAAGTCTTGACCTTCCCAGAGCCCAGCCCCATGTCAAGCTGCCTGACTTCTGATTGGAGGAGCTGGAAGCAGAGCTGGGAGCCCCTCAGGTCACCGCTCAGATCCTTGCTGGAGCTGGGGAGCCTCTCCTGCTGGCTGCAGCCTCTCCTCAGGGATCCTGGAGCTCAGTGGGGGGCCTCTCCTGCGGGTTGCACACCGTGCTGCTGGGGGTCCCACTGCTGCCTGCAGGTCCTGCTCTTTCAGGGTCTTCTGGGGCACTGCTCCTGGCTCAGCTCTGTGAAGCCCCTCCCTTATTGGTCCTCACTGGTCTCTCCTGAGTCAGCCCATGCTGCCCCTTTTATCCCCCTCCAGGTAACCCAAGGGGCCAATCGGGACATGGGGAGGGTGAGTCTCTGGGGCTGATTGGTGTGGAAAGGGAATCCCAAGTCCTCCAATCATCTTTTGCCCTTTCAAAACCCCTGAGCCAGGTCGCTGCCAGCCAACCTGTCACACTCTCTTTAGCTCCAGCCAGCAGCTGCTGCTTCAAGGAAGCTGTTGTACCCTCAGCTTGCTCAGGCCTTTCACATTTCACATCCAGCTCTGACTACAGGTGAGCTGCCTCCTTCGTAACCTCATTGGAGGAAAACTGAGACTTGAATAGATCACATCTTAGCTCTGCTAGGATCTGCACTACTCTCTGCTCCTCGCTTGCTGTCCTTCACCTCCCAGCAGAGGGCAGAGAGCTGCTCTCACTCCTTTAACAAGGCTCCTGCCTCCATGCTGGTACTCCTTCCACACTGCTGTAGTTCCCTCTGTAACTACCCAAGGTCCCTTTAAATGGCTACAATTTGCTTTCAATTATGACCATTAATTCTCAAATCTCCATAGTTTACTTCCATTTGCTGCAGTACTTTAAATGGCTGCAGTTTGTTTAAAGTGCCACCACCACCAGCCCCTTTAAACTGGTTGCCCACATTCTCTACCATATGTAATGGGCTCAGGGATTTTTGCTTAGCTCAAACAGCTTTTCAGTTCACAAGGGGGCTACAAATGGTCCTGGGGTCTGTTCCCAGATCCCAAGAAGATGCTGTTGGCTTTGTGCTGCTCCCTCAGCACCTCAGCAAAGTCTTCCTTCTCTCTCATAAGTTCCCTGTCCTGGTCTTGGGGCTGCTGCTTCCAGCTGTACAGCCCTGGGCCTTTTGCCAGATCCTGGGAGAGGCCTTGGCTCAATGTTGCAACTGCCAAGCTCCTGCAACCTCTCTCTCCCTAGGAGTCTTTCTCCTAGCTTCCTCTCTAGGAGCCTTTTATCTTCCTGTAGGCCACCTAATTATTCTCTGCAGCTGGCCCACTTCTCCTGGGCAGCCTGCAATCACTGCCTACTGCCTTCAGCTGGGCTGTAGTCCTGCCAACCTGCAGACTCCTACAGCCAGGAGCATGCAGGCTGGTTGAAGCTGCTGCCAGCCAGCCTGCTACACTACCACTGAAACATTATCTTCAAGAAATTCTCTTTAATTTTACTATATACTAAAGCTGCTGATCCTACTTTTCAAATCCAGTGCTATTTCCTCTGAGATCAATTTACTACCCATCATAAAAATGAATATGTTTAATTATCCTATGATTTTAATTGAAATGTAGCAATAGCTAACAATTATATTAATATTACTATGTTGAACAGATGATCCAAACATTTAGGGAGCAAGTTTGCATTTGATCTGAACCCCAAGCTCCATTTACAACTATTGGAGTTGACCTAGAAAGAAACTATTTGTGGTTTCAGATTTGACCCAGGTTGGCAGCCACCTATCAAAATCGACCAAACCCATGAAACTTTTCCACAGTATAACAAAAATATCATAACAATAGTTCACAAGATTATACTACTAGGAAACTCAGAAGTTAACCTCTATAGAAACAATACCTCTTTCTGTTCCTATTGGAATTAATATCCCAATGCAAAATTCACCTCTGTAGACAGTGGAGGCAGAGA